TTAGAAGCATTGCATGCAATGCGAGAAACCTTATGTTCAGAGGAATGGAATTAACTTAAGTCAGAGTTTGAATTGCTCATAACCTTACTTTCAAACTCCCCAGAAAATTTTCTGCCATTGTTTCTTTTACAACAAAGTCCAAGTAGTGACCATGACAACACATAATGAGAGTATCATCTATTGTTACATGGCCTAAGCGTAGCACAAGAATTGCGATGACCAGTAAATTTGTTTAAGAGCTTCCTTAGAAAAGTTGTTGTTTTCGAAGGTTTTCTATCGATCTGGGTCAGCCAAGCCAAGTAGAACAACAGCTAATGCTACAAAAGTGTGGTTTGTAGAGGATTGCTACCTTAGTAAATCTCTATGGCAGATTCTTCAACATCTAGCCTGACTCCCAGAACCAGCTAAGCTATTGCCCAGCTATGAAGGAAACAGACGTGTAGCACGGAGCACGTTTATTCAGGACGTATATTGCGGATCAAGCGTGTGCACGCAGGGAGGTACTCATGATCAGGATGGGGGATTAGGTTAAACAGAGGTTGATGATTGGTCACTGTTTGTACGGTCACTGCACACAGAGTTGTACGGCCGCACCTCCCAATCCTGGCGAGCAGACATGCAGGCATACGATGACGCACAGAGCGATAACGTGTCCCACACGATAAATTCGTGTTGTGTAATTTCCAAGGAATGAAAACTAGAAATTTTATTCTGATCAAACGTAAACATCCACCAATTTTAAATCATTTGGAATACTGATGATGTCAAGTCTCTCCTTATTTATTTATTATTTTCTAGAGGCAGATGTCGTTTGGAGTTAATGAACTCAAAACCACAAAGCGCCACCCCACTGAACTCAAGGTAACTTTCACACAATTTGTGGTTTTATGCATACTTCCTTTTTACGAGTTTATTAATGACCTTGGTCATCAACCCCTTTCCGTGCATAAAATTCCTTTTAATGTCATAACCTTTATTGCACCAATCTTTACATCTCTTAGAATTCATTCTAATCAATGTTTTCGGCGTGGAAATATAAAATTAGATATTTATGGATATTTGCTTAGGCAATGATTAGTGAATATTGTTTGAAATCATCTAATCTGTTAAGCTCAACTAGAACACAAAGTGTACGCCTTTATGACTAATATTTGTTTAATATAATTTTTTGTATTGAATGATTATAGCTCTAAATATCAACCCCGAATATTGAAAAAATAGAGCAATTTGAGGTCCTTTCTAGTAATTAATCATCTTGCGGAGTTGACAGAAGGTTGATTTGAATATTTTTGATTCATGGTTTTTTTGTTTCCTTGTAGTTTTCTATGCTAAGATCGAATCTCATCACAGCTAAAAGCCATGGGTTCAGGAAAGTAAATATCTCTCAAAATGAATCATTATTTGAGTTAACATTTTTTTGGTCTGAATAATATACCTGTAAACATGGTGCGTTGGGATGTCTTAACCTATCTACCCAATCAGTTGACTATGATTATTTAATCAGGAAACGACATAAAAGTCTATTCGAGATTGTCAATTTTACTTCAGTTTAATGAACTCGAAAAGAAATGTAACTTTCTGGGACAGGATACGAAATTCTTATAAATTTGGGATAATGGCGAAAATATTATGAGCGCTTCATCACCAATTAATAGAGCATTAACAACCCGTAGTTTACATTGGTTGCATAATATAAAATAGAATAACTTTGCATCTTCATTACTTGAAATAAACCAAAAATTCCTTCTTATTGTCATAGTTTTGCATGTACCATGATTAGCTTGTCCAGGATCGGAAGTTATTCGATCCAATCAAGTATCTGCCGTGCATTATTGGTGCTCCCCTATTGGTGTGAGCGATATTTATTCCAAAACACAATCGAAGAGAAGTGAAGCGTGACACTGATCTTGAAAACGATCATTTGAGTGCCTCTTGCTTCTCCTTTTCATTCAATTTGGGATCTATTTTTTCAATTTTTATGACATTTTTCTATCTGCTTTTAAATCTCTTGATTATTCATGGAACCGAATATTATTTAAAGACAGCTTAATCAAGCCAATTCCTGATTAATTTTCAGATCTTTCACCTTTAATTGCGCATTTAAAACAATTTTGGCAGCAGCCAGACGATTTTAAGGCAGCGCAATCATTTGCATGCAACTAGTGTTGTTAGTTTTCAACGGGTAACTCCAAGTATCTTGTTTTAACGGAGGCTTATAAATGTCTCGAATATTTAAAAAATTATTTGATCCTTTCTTTTGTCTATTAATTCACCATATGTGAATATTCTCAGATTATTAAAATAAATCATCGAAGGAGGGGGGGTTGGGATAGTTGTCTGTTTAACTCAAACGTTGATTAACATATGAATTTCTACGTAGTTAGCATTTATAGGTTTGACGCTCATCAATAAGTTGGGCGAATTTTCACTTCTGTTTGAGGCCGAAGACATCAAACAAAAAAGGATAGTTTCTCGAGCCGAATTCAAGGGGTTATACAGGTCAATGTTGATTTGTTCACCTTCTAGACCTTCGATTATTGAATCTTGGGGCTAATAGGAATATACTCTCTAATAAAACCTTTGCGAATATAAATAACCATTTATGACCATTAAATTATTATCCCTAAAGTTTTCTGATATTAATTCCTTTCAAGCCTTGACACCAATTTTACATTAAATGCTTTTAAAAATTAGTTGCCAGTAAAATCTACTGGGTTGGCAACTAAGTCATTGCCGTTTTTGTCGACAGATTCACTCTATACTTTCTTTTGTTTTGTTAACGTGGCCAGAGCATCTAACCTATATTTTTTTCTTACTGTATGGGCTTCTAGGTTAAGTAGTAAAAAATTTTTTTGTTTAGTTCTTTAGTTTTGTTTTTATCCCAATTTAAAAATGAAAGAACAGGACGTGCACTTCCGACACATTTTATTGTATTACTTCCGAAAAGGCAAGAACGCATCGCAAGCACAAAAGAAGTTATGTGCCGTATATGGAGATGAAGCCTTAAACGAAAGGCAGTGTCGAAATTGGTTTGAAAGATTTCGCTCCGGTGATTTTTCACTGAAAAATTCACAACGATCTGGCCGCCCAGTCAAAGTGGATGAAACCCATATCAAGGCCATTATCGATTCAAATCGTCACAGCACAACACGAGATATTGCAGAGAAGCTCAATGTGTCGCATACATGCATTGAAAAAATTAAAAACCCTTGGTTATGTCAAGAAACTTGGTTTATGGATCCCTCACCAGTTGAAGGAAATTCATTTGACGCAACGGATTAGCATCTGTGATTCGCCGCTACTGAAACGCAATGAGAATGATCTATTTCTGAAGAACCTAGTTACTGGCGACGAAAAGTGGATAGTTTATAACAATGTTACTCGCAAGAGATCATGGGTGAAGCAAGATCAACCAGCCCAAACAGTATCAAAAGCAGAGATTCACCAAAAAAAGATTATGCTGTCAGTCTGGTGGAATCACAAAGGAATTTTGTATTTTGAACTCATGCCGCAGAACCAAACGATAAATTCAAATGTGTATGTTGAAGAACTCGAAAAACTGAAGGATGCAATTGAAGATAAGCGGCCGGCATTATCAAATCGACGGAAGGGTGTTGTTTTCCATCATGATAACGCAAGGCCCCACACATCTTTGGTTACTCGGCAAAAATTATTGGAACTGGGTTGGGATGTTTTTTCGCACCCACCATATAGCCCTCACCTTGCGCCTTCGGATTACCATTTGTTTCGTTCCATGCAAAACTCTTAAAATGGTAAAATTTTTAAGAACGCGGATGATGTCGGATCACACCTAATTCAATTTTTTAATAGCAAAGACCAGACATTTTACGAACGGGGAATTTTTACTCTGGCAGAACGAAGGAAAAAGGTCATCGACAAGAACGGCCAATATCTAATTGAATAAAGTTATATTTTTAAACAAAAATTCCGAATTTGCCTTCTTATTTGAAATCGGCAATGACTTAGTTGCCAACCTAATATTTCAGTTAATTCTATCTCTCAAATCAATTTTGCTGCAAGGAATAGCATTAAATTTAAACTTTTGCAAGGATTTAAAATCGCAGACTGATAAAGATCGGTGATGGCACTTTTTCGTTTCATATGATTTCAATTGAGATTATGTTGTTAAACGCATTTTTTTCTACGTTGTTAACCTAGTGCGAATAAACCGAATTAATAAAAGCCCCAGATTCACCTCAAGCGAGGATTTCTTGGAAAGGACAGGATGAGGTTAAAAGAGATCTTCTTATAAAATCAGCGATTTATTGTGCCTTTAAAACTTATTGAAGATTGTGATCATATTCTCAAAAGTAGAGGTAGAGTCACGTTGCGTGAAACCCAGGGATAGAAATGGTCAGCCGCATTATTGTCTACAACTGAATAAAATATTTTTCGTAATGGCGACATTCCTATTTAGGGAGTCTCTACTATATTTATCCTCTCAAAAGGGGCTAAGTTAAACACAGCTGGTACTGTAAAAGGTGGTTTATGCTTTATCACCACTTACTTTCTTAATTATCATTTATAATTTCTTGAAAATACCACAATTCTTTTGGAAATAGGCATTAAGATCCAACAATTTATACTAATTAGCACGAGAAGTAACAATTTGACTGATTTAGCTTAGTAACTATCATAGTTTAATTATGAAAATTAAGTTATCGGTCTAAATTTACGTTATTAATAATGCCCTGTCAAGCAAGCAAGGGAAGTAAAATGGATATTGGTCAATTTTATCATGGCCACGCGTTAGCCCTGAGTTGGGAAACAAATCCATATTAAAATTCTTTCATGAATGCCACTCTCATATATAAATGTAATTCCGCTAAAAACTTCTTCAAATGAAGTTGTTTTAATACTACCTACAGCTATTTAAGTAGAATCAAATGTGAGCATCATAAAAAAGTGTACATAATGACGCCCCTCATTTCCACAATACTTTTAGGCCACTTCTTACTAGAAATATTCACCGCCCATCTATGTCCTCGTCAAGCCCAGGTCTTCACCAACCTCGTTCGCATCACTTGCCTAGTCGCCACCACCACCATAATCATCATCATCATCATGGTTCGAGAAGCTCTACTCTTTCTTCAGCAGCTTCTCGTGTCCTCCCGCCTAAATCTATTAGTGAGGGAAACATGACAAACAGCGTGAAAGCTAATGATGTCAGCTCAGTGGCTTCATCTGCTGCCTTTGACTCACAACAGTCAGTGGAAGAGGTAAGTTGGATTAAATTGAAATGGTGTTTTCTGCCACAAAGCATTCTTTGTGTTTCATCCGTTTGGGTTCAAGATTTCTGACGCTGGTTCAAGTAGCGCTATGGAAACACCAACGTTTGTACGACTTGCTCCATACTTTGAGTCTATTCCCAATAGGAAATATGCATCATTATCAAGGATTCGGCAACAACAATGCGGTAAGCAGCTCAATCGTTTGCCTACTTCAAGACTTTAATTTAAAGAACTTTTATACATCCAATAACTTCAGCGAGTTTGCTCAGAAAGCTACTCCTGAATGGTTTAGTCTTTCGAATCAGGTTATATACGCACTTAAACAGTAAATTAATTGAAGAAAAATATTAATTTCTGCAAACCTTCTTACCTAGAAATCTGTTCTTCCGATTTCGTGATTTCTTTACAAACCACTGAGAAATTAGGAAGGGGTTGCAGGCATGATCATTGAAAGAGAATATATCCAAATGTTAATTCTAGGGAAAAAAAGAAAGAAGAGGATTGGCTACTCATTAAAAAATCGATACTATGACGAAAAGTTTTCAAAAACGAATATAAAGTGTTGAACATTAGATGAACTCATAGTTTGCTAATGCACCGTGTATTCCAATGCTAAAAATAAGTGGTTTAGAATGAAATTTAACATGTTTCAGACTATTTGTTCCATTTATATTTATATTATTTAGAGTCGAATTAAAGTTGATCATACGATTTCATTTCAGTCGTCCAGATTTGTAGCGGATTGTTACCTTAGTAAAGCCTGACTGACTCAGAAATCTCTATGGCAAATTCTCCAAAATCTAGCTAGACTCCCAGAACTAGCTAAGCTATGGCCCAGCTATAAGGGAAACAGACGTGCAGCACGGAGCACGTTTATTCAGTACGAGTATTGCGGATAAAGTGTTGTACACGCAGGGAGGTACTCATGATCAGGATGGGGGATTAGGTTAAACAGAGGTTGATGATTGGTCACTGTTTGTACGGTCACTGCACACAGAGTTGTACGGCGCACCCCCCAATCCTGGCGAGCAGACATGCAGGCATACGATGACGCACAGAGCGATAACGTGTCCCACAGATTTGAAGAAGTTCTTTAAGTTATTCCTTCCCTTTTCTATACGTTCACTACACCTTGATTCATAAATACACCACGGGGTTGATCTTTAATAGACTCCATTATTGTGGTTTTAGTGTTCTTCGATTAATGTGTTTCAATTATTTCATCGCTGGCGAATCGGTTAATTCGCAGAGTCTCCTATTAGCAATTTGCATTCAGCCTAATTCTCCATTGGCTCGGTGTCAACTAGTCATTTGATCATTATTCTTGTCAAGGTATATTTCTTCCATTTTTTCGCAGTTAATCTGGCCGCTGACCCCTCCATTCAAAGTCTTCACAGCGTGGATGATCTCCGTTTGAATGGAATTCTAAGTCAGACTATTCTAGAAGACCGTGAACCTATTACTGAAATGGTATGTTCATCAAACACCTTATGCTAGTACCTTAGATATTGCTTCCTGGCAATATTAATATTATTAATATTTATGTTATAATATTAGGCATTTACGGATTTCGAATGGAAATTGAAAGTTGCATTTTTACAAGCTGACTTCTTTCTTGGAAAAGGATCATTTTAAAAATATTTCAGTTATTGAATATTCGAAAATTATTTTAAACAAGTCATGGTGACCTTGGCATTTCCCCACAATTCATTATTCTAAACTGGTTTCTTATTGATTGGTCCCATTTGCCTGAGTCCACTGTTAGCTTCCCTCTCTGCACTGTCCTGATGGGACCAATTAGCTGCAATTTCCTTTTTTTCTTACTTAGTGCTACTGCAGTTCGTGGAAACTGGAATTGGAACAATTTATTTGCTTGCTATTATTCCACAATTTCGATTCATGTGTTGCGGGTTTTATTCAATGCGTTTTCGTTTTAAGAATAAAGGAACAAATTACAAAAACGTTAACTCATTAACAATTGGTGAACTTGATAATAAATGGAATATTCCGCTGTGCATTGAACCGCCTTTACCTTTGGGGTTTACAGCCTAGTAACAATATGAATGGAATTCATCCCATTAATTTAATGGTCTGTTTAAGTTATTGCCTAATTACGAATGATCAAGTGGTTTCCCTCAAGTCGGCCTATCCTCCAGTAAGTTCCTCAGAAGGGCATGGCCACAAACTGCGCGCTTCCGTTTAATAAAGTGAAAAACCTGGTTTTTCAGGCCCACCTAATTCACCATGACATTTCATGCAATTACCAGTTTGTTATAAGCCCAAAATAAAGGCTTGCTCTATTGCTTTTTTAACTGAATTAGAAATTTCAAATCGGAGATTTTTAAACTGTGCCGTGCAAAAACTATTATCTGTCCCAATTTTGATTATTATTCTGTAAAATGCCGTTATTTCATCAAGGAAACAATTTACAACTTTTTATGAAAATCATGATATTTCAAGCTTTGATTGAGATGATGACCATATTGGTTTACCATTCTTCTCTCCTTCGAGTAATGTTGATTTGCCAATATGTAGTTTTCCTTTCCATAGGTCTTATCTACTTAAGGAGTAAATTGACTGTGAAAGAAACACAAAATATAAATACGTTAAATATTTGCGTTAAGAAATTACTTCGCCTTTCAACGGGATCATATCTCTTCGTTGACGTTGTGCGCCTACCTCTAAGATTTCACTATGAAATGAGTATTAGTCATCATTGGGACAGCTTAAAAGCTCCAGAGTAGAACAATTAATATGAGTTGAGCATTTTGTCTAACCCCACTCGCCCTCCACACCCTCACGAAATCCTTCTGCTGCCTGCTTAACTTTGCTTGTTAATGTACAGTGATAGCTAAAATGACTTTAGAATTAAAGATCGATAAATTCAAGTGTACGATGTAAATTCCATAACTCTAGATATTTCGAATTTTGCAGCAGGCAGTTGACAAATATGACTCATGGGCCTAATCTTCATATTTCGTTCCGCAATTTACAGAGTGCGTATGCTTAGTACTTTTCGGCTGTCTTCCTATTACGACTCTTATCTCAGTAGTTTATAGAGTCTGGAATACCGCCAATTCCATGTTGGCTTCATTTTCAGTGTGAAAATTATAACTCGAAATTTATTTATTTCAAATGGATGTTGTTTGACAGTTATCATTGGCCCTTTAGCTGACTCCGGACTTCACGGAGGGGAGAAACTTCAAAGTGAGATAAAATCGAGAGGGGAACAGAAGAGTGATTCAAAGATGTAAAAAGACAGACAGACACAAAGACAGAGAAAAGGTGAGATGAGTACTGTGAAAGCAGTCGAATATGACATACAGTGGGGTCATGGTAGTTTGATGTCAGAAGTCAACTGCCAGTTAATAGACTTTTTACCGTATGGGTATACGTTGCCCAGGGTTCATCACGTGGAGGTAAGTCAGTCGCACACCTCATTATAGCTCGAAATAAGTATTACTTAAGGAACATGCTGCTGACAAGGTGAGGGAAAATTAGGTTTAACGATGCAAGTGTGAGAGTAAATTGTCATGCCGCAACGGCTACTTCAGTCTCTAGAAGAATGGGTTTAAAAAATGAACATATATTGAAGGACAGTTTCTCGATATTCTATTTTAATACCATTTTAATTGACCATTTGGCAATTCCTTCGCTATTGAATCTGTAACTTTATAAGCTCAGCTTGCCTCTAATCCCTCAGTAACGACGTGCTTAATTGTGTTAAAAATATCAGCAAACCCTATTGGTTAAAAGTTACTTCCTGTATTTTGCCATGGTCACTAGCACTATTGCCAGTACAAATTGGGAAGTTTGCTTTGTTACAAGTCAATATTCAATGTATTGTTCCTTCAATCAACTTCAAGACATGGCTTTAATTCAGGCTAACTCTTTAATAATCTGAGACCACGAAACTACGTACAATAGGTCTACAATCTCGCCTCGAATTATTATATCAAATTTCATATTTCGGATTTTATTACTCTGAGTAAAACTCTCCTAAGCATGCTCACATGTTACACTGTTTGATCATTCGGCATTGATTTACATAGGCAAAGCATAATTACTAATATAATAACAAATAAATAATATATTATATGGCAACTGGGAGATCTGGGAGAAGTAAAATGGAATTGGATCAAAAGGTCATTAATAAACTGAATTCTTGGTAAACTAAAATGCATGCTCGTTAGTTAACATATTTCTTTTGCCAATTTATTTCCCGCTACCCAAGAACTGAAATTGGGTTCCTGAATTGGTTCCAGCACGTCGGTTTTCTGAACCGAGAGATCGGGATTAGTTAATTACCGCAGTGCATCTGCCTCTTCTGAATGAACTTGGTGTCACATTTGAGAAGACGTGATATAGAGTAGGATAGTTGCATCAAAAATTAACTAATACCAATTAATATTGCTAGAATCTCTTCTTCATAAAAAGTTCTGTAGCTCTTTTACCCATCACTGCATAAGCATTTCAAGTAGTGTTCATTCTTGTCAATTGCCATTCTTTCGATTATATTCAATACTTGAAAGATAAGAGTGGATACATTCAATTTAATTTAATTTATTTGTTAATTATTCGTTCATTTTGTGACTATAGCTTTATTCCTTTTAAAAAATTCTTATTCGGAATATTTTCGAATGAGCAACTAACACGACCTTATTTGGCCTATCGTCATCCTCTTTGTTGTTCTTTCATCAAACAATTTCGTCTGCTATCCGACCAATTAGGTAGGAAACAGGTACCGATGTGTCAAATGGAGTGTGTGTCGATAATGGAACCTATCTGTGCACATTCAAGGCTTTATTAGTTAATCACCAAAGAGTGATGGACAGAATTAAATATTTCGAACGAAAAATCCTTGAACTTGATATGGAAACAGCCAGCCTCACTAGTCCATTTATTTTACCATCATACTGTAGTTTGCCGTCAAATCCTTTCCTTCTTATGGCTATCTTTTACGTTCTTATACCGTAATGTTTGTTCCTGATGGTTATATACGGAGAAAATTTCTTCTCCATTGTTTCGAGCAGGCTCATCTTAGAATAATTGCACGTAGATACACAACCCGTAGAACAAAAGTACGAAAGGTATTTTAATAATTAATTTCTCTTCACACATTTGTTAAAATTGATAATAATTTACCGGAAAACAGGTCTCATTAAATGCAATTCTCTTACCGTCAGAAAATATCGGCAATATTAAAATAACTTCAGCCTATATTCGCAAAAATACTGTTTTAAAGTTCAATGATATGATATGTGTCCATAAATAGAAGCCATTTCGTGAGTATTTTATTTATCAGATTGCATCCAAAACTTTTGATGTTGCTATCTGCATTCCATACCGTAGCAATTTTATAAAAGTAGTTATAATTCAGGAAATTAAACCAAATTTTGTTAATTTTAGAAACAGGACTCCAACTACGTTCCCCTACAAACATCGACTCCCCAGAAAGAGAACCCCGAAAATCCACTAGAGACTTCAAAATCTAACGCAATTCCTAAATACGCAACTGCCATCACCAGCTCAGATAACGCCGATGACTCCAGTGTCTCACCGCCCAATCCCTGTCGTGTAATTTCGCGTCTTTGGCGATACGTCCTAGTTACCGGCGGCCTCTCCCTACTTATAATCGTCCTTGGCACAACGTTAGCAACAGAAATTGGTTACCAAGGCCCAATAGTAATGCGAATTCGCAGAACTCACTTATTCACTAATTGGGAAGCCCATTGTTATCTTCCTCTTCGGTCCCTTCTTTTGGGAACTTTTCAATAGCATTAATCTAATCCTATTTCATGTTTCTGTCTCTGTTAATGTTATATCCCTGTTTCTTTTACTCGGTGTCGTATTAAAAGAAGACACAGAATTGATACCTGTGTGCCTGATCTCAATTTCATCATGAAATTCGCACGTTTCGAGCAGACTATTTCGAGTGCACTACCACTTCACGCACACTCACACAGAGCCACCTTAAACACCACTACCTCTATGTTCTGTCCATCTTCGAATCGCCCCCTCTCTCTCGATCTCTTAGTGCATATAAGCCTACTTAGTTAATGATGATTATAAGGTATATATTGTAGTCACCAATGGTATTTTATTTTGAATATTTCACAGGGATAGGAGATTGAAATAGTCGAATCTTGGTTTTTTTTAAATTGAGGTTTAGTGACAGTGCAATAAAGTAACGTGGTTAACTTTCAAGCCCACTAAAGAAATGGGTATCAAAATTGACTTGAATAGTGGAAAAGCAAAATTGGAGATAGCTCCATGACCGCGAACCACAAGGTAACCAATAAAAGCTTGATACAATAAGCAGGATAAATTAAATATATCATAGAAGTGGAGGGATCAAGCATCAGAATCATCACTTCGTTATAAGGGAGAAAGCGAGTGACTTCTTTAAAATACTAGAACTCATAACTAAATGGAATGGGATAAGTCAGTAACGGTGGACAATAAAAATGAATGATATGGATTTTGAGTAAACTATATTTACAAAATACATAATGGTTTGATAAGCAAAAAGAAATTAATATTTACATTGGCTGGTGCGAAGTGGATTCGACTTTAGATCCTGAAAGAATAGGTTTACCTCGCTCATTAACTGCGTGGTTGTAGTTCACAGGTTCTGAAGACATAATTTCATCTACACGGAAATCAATATTTTCATGAGTAACCATGGTCTTATCATATTCCTAAAATTAACGAACACGTGATGAAATTGAAGAAATGCATAAAAATCCCAAGTAGCCAGTGCCGGAATACCTTCATTAAATAAAGTTTTTTCTTAAGTTTTTCAATTCGCTCCAGTTCCAATTGATCATACTCACTACGCCTAGTGAGAGTTTCAGTTATCTTTTCATTAAAATCTTGGAGGTAGAAGTTCTCTCGCGCAAGTTTAGCTTCCGCATTCCATTTGTCATTGATTGCAATGAGTTCATCATCAAATGCCTCTTCTCTAACTTCTCGTCGAGTTGAACTCTCTTTCTCATTAACGAGAAAACAATGCTTAAGGACGTCCCTAAATAAAAATAATATGTAAAATTTCTTTGATAGTACTGTATTGCAGCCATCTGTCGTTTGTACTCTGGCCACCACTGATTTAAAAGTTCATATTCCACGGGATCCGGTATGTGCGGCTGTTTGATTCTAAGTAGCTTACCTATGTAGTATTATAACAAAATTAAGTGACATACTTTTAGCGGGAGGAAAAACCCGAGGATTCCTCCGGAAGATGGGAGTCCCTTTGTGCTTAAGTAAAGCCAGCATTGTAGATGACATGAGGGCAGGTCTCAAAATTATACACACTAATTGACCTTCAAATTATATTTGCCAATCAAGAAAGAGAATGGAATAAAAAGAAATTATTTTTGCATGTATTTGTTTTAAGTATTTACGATCATAATACGTTGGGAAAAAGTATTATAATAACGGTCTTTTAATTTAATATTTCATTAACAAATAAAAAATTCGCTAACAAACCAAGTTGAAGGTCCTAGTTTATTTTGCAATATTCAGATTTTCTGTTCTGCCTCTATTTATGGCGTATTTTAGAGGTCTGCAATTTCTTTATTTCAGTTTTACTTACTTGTTTATTTATTCTGAAAAATAAGTTCAGTGGAGAGTTTCCTCTTTTCTAACATACCTTGTCCGCCTCCCAATCCATTTAAATAATCGAAATGCTGTATCAATATTTGCATGTAAAAAACATCTAATTTATTCAAATATCGAGCAAAAGTGTACATGACTAATGAAATAGATGTTGCCTGTATAGTCGCAAGAATTTTGATCGACGCTGCCTAGTGTAACTCCATGTGAATTATAACTAACTACAGGCTTTGAGAAAATTTTAAAATAAGGACATCATTGCCGTATTCAACTTGCTATTGCTTGAATAAAATGAAAAGTATTCGCAATGAAAAGTAACTCTGAAAGGTTTAACCAATTTGAATCTATTTTGATTAACCCATCACCAGGCGAATTTTTGCACTTGATTATTGCGTGCCACCCTCTGAAAAGTATCATAGAAACTATTCCGAATACGCTTTTCTCAAATTATCGAATCTCAATCAAACCATTAAATAATGACTTAACGCAGTCAAAAAAAGATAAGGGCCATTAAGCACAATAGACGACTACCAAACCCTAGTGAACAGAAATGAATGGCTGCCGACTAAACCTTGCCCCTTTCGTCACATGTAAGATATAACTAGCATGGGGCAAAACAGTTTTTACACATATAATTAATCCCGGTTGCATTATTGGCGTGGCTTAGCAAGTGTATCAGCACGCTCATTACCTATAATGTCACAAGCATCCGTTGAAAAGCTATTTTTTGTCATTTTCTTCGGGCAGCTGATACGGTTCTTTGTATTTGGATATCTCAGCTGTTTTGGGGTGGTTCGCTCTTTCCAATTGACTGCATTGCTGACTTCGAGGCCGAAAGAATTATTGCTTTGGTGAAATTAGTAGCCTGGCAGCACAACTGGCCTAATGCTAACTTAATGGCCTCTATTTCTCCGAACGCAGATCTCTTTTGTCCCGTTGCGGCGAAGAAAAAGAATAGTTCAGAGTAAATACCTCCACCAACGTTTCCTTAGTTTTCCACATATCACCCGTCAGTGAAGACTTGAAGCCAATGATCCGCAGGATAGTTTACACTGATTGTCTCAAGGACTAATAATCGCATTTAATCTGGTTGGGTATCTGCTTTCATAGAATGGCCAAGAAGTTAAATGCAAAATTGAATTTTGTTATCCGTCGATGGGCTTTGGGGTAAAAAGAGACTTTGTTAGCTGTTTGCAATATTTCTTCAGTTCTATTGCTTACTGTATTAGGCCAGACTAAGTTTTCAGGTGTCTTGGTCCATTTTCGTAGACACTCCAGAATGTGTCACGGGGAATGCACAGTAGTTTCTCATAGAGGGTCAGTGCCTTCTCTTTGGTAGGCGAAAGTAACACGGTGTTCCCTGTGGCCAGGAGCATTGCATTAATGGGTGGTGATTTTATCCCTCCAGTAATAAGTAGAAAAGCCTGATTGTGTACCTTCTCGAGTGGCTTGAGAATCACTTCAGAGGATGCAACGAGCAATACAACATTACTAATTGAAGAGACATCTTGTGAGTGCTGTTTAGGGTTGAGCGTGCGCAGCCCCACAAGCTACCAGCGAGGCGCTCCAGTACGTTCAGTCCATTGGAGACCCGTTCTGCTACTTTAGCAATGTGACTTTCCATGTTATATTTGTGTCAAACGTCATTCCGAGATAAGTGAACTCGTTGGTTTTTTCTATGGAAGTATCCTTGTACCTTAAAGGCGGGTTTATGCTATGACAGGCCAAAGGAAATGTTTGGAATGCAGTTTTCGCGGTATTGATAACCATTCCATTGTTGTCGCACCAGTTTGCTAATAACTTAATTGCATAAATTAGGGCACTTTCCGTCCTCTTCTGGGGTTTCTTCATGGAGGCTGAATAAAACAGAACAAGATCTACATTGAGCAAAAACTCGATGCCCGTGACTGTCCGTACCAATTCAGCTATATCTCTTTGTAAAAGGTTAGATTTGGACGGATCGTTTCAATATCTGACTTTACATGCTCTGTCAAATGAATGCTTTTATCCAGTTTAGCATGTTTTTCACCAATCTTCGCCAATTTTAGAATTGAGTTTTCTTTCCATACAAGGTTGTGGGACACGTTATCTCATTTACGCGCGCCGTTACTAGTACGTGCGGCGTATAACTTCCCGAGCAGACAACAGTAATGGGAGTCTAGCTAGACATTGGAGAGTCCGCCACAGAGATTTCTGAGTCAGTCAGGCTTCATTAGTGTAGCAATCCGCTACAAATTGGCGACCCTGACGTGATAATCAGCCTGACTGACTACATTCAGCAGAGGCGAATTCTCTTCGAGTGTTCCCTACTTCAAAAAAAACCAATTCGCTGATTACTTTTTTACAATCATAAAAATGTCAAGACTCGGATTTTGGCGACAACACCCAGGTTACCATTTTGCAAATCCGATTTTCGATCCAGATTGTCCTAGCACTTGGTTCCTGCAATTCGAAAACATTCTCAGGACAAAAGGCATTACCAAACGTACTACCTGGTTTCGTTACGCCGCTGGATCACTACCGGGATCCATCGTGAATCAAATCTGCAATATAATCGATAAACAAGCAGATATTAATTTTTATGAGCGACTAAAGCAAGCGGTTATCAGTCGATACACTTCCTCTCGTGAGAATCGATTACATCAACTATTGTCATAAGTAGAACATGGCGATCGATCCCCATCTCAACTACTAAGCCACATTCGCTCCTTAGCTAGTATTAATGCCATCAAGACTTCTCCTTCTGCTAGTATCGAGAACAATCAATTGGAGGCTATAGTCGATCAGTTAAAGAGTCTGACGATCCTAATAAAAGACGTGATTGCCAAAGTCTGACTTCAAACACTCAGCAGAGAAATAATCTCTCACTGGCATCGAGATTTCCTCTCCGCATTCCTCAATACCCCCGGTGATCTCTTCCTGCTCGAATGATCACTATCGCCTTACGTCCGCTGCCGTTACCCACAACAAGTCAGATCCTGACTTCCAATCAAGAGACTCGATCTCTCATCCGCAACGCGATTTTTTTACATCGCTCTCCTCATCTGGTGGTTCCTTGCCACACGAACGATTAACACCTCAACGGCACTGATTTGAAATCGATGAATACAGCCGTAAGAGTACTTCCTACATCACGGGCATTTTTGATATGTTGGGAGAGATTGACGACTTGTTGGTTTTTTATCTTTGTGGCCTAAAACCTGCTTGCTCATTCCTAAGAATATTTCTGGTTCAGCCTCGTGTTAACCATTCCTTCCATAAGTTTAGCCATCATGCTTGTGAGGGAGATAGGCCCATAGTTGTCAAAGTTGCTAGGGTCTTTGTCCTTTTAAGTATTGGTATTACTATGGCAACTTTCCATTAGGTAGGCACGAGACTGCCCCCCCCCCCCCCCCCCAAATTTTTTTGAATAATGCCAGCATGATTTCATTGTATTTTGGTCCCATTCTACCTAGATATTCTAGGTTGGTACCGTCTTCAACAGGCGACTTTTTTGCACTTGAGCTGTTTTATCGCAGCGTTGAGTTCAAGAGAGCTGAATGGTTCAGTAACTACACTATGTGCTACTGTTGTATCTCCCTTAATTTCATCAATTTTTGCTACTTCTTTCAAGCAAAGTTAGCTATTTCGGAGTCGGTGGTAAGCCTATGGGGTTGCTTCCTGGGACTTTCTTGTTGTTTTGGAGGTTACCCAGGAATTTGAAAGTGCGTTGGCTATCACTTCGGTAGTTGATGTTTGAGATGAAGTTTTTGAAGATAATCCGTTTGGCTTGCAAGATTGCTTGTTTTAGGACAGCTGATTGTCGTCTCCAGGCTCGAACATCTTCCGTTCTACCGGTCTGTTCAGCAGTGTTGCGAGGGATTTACCATTTTCTTTTCAATTCCTCAAGGGTTTTAGCCATGTACATTTGATTACAATATTGGTGATATTGCTGCNTTTTTGATGAAGCTATCGAAGGGAGTCCGTTTAGATTGTAAGATGCCTTTCTTAGGACTGCTGATTGTCGTCTCCAGGCTTGTGCGTCTTCCGTTCTTTCAGTCTGATCAGCAGTGTTGCGAAGACCGACTTCTTTTAAGTTCCTCAAGGTTTTTAGACCAAAACAATCGAGAGTGTTTTGTCTTGCCTCTGGAAATAGTTTTGTTTACACATCTGATCGTAATATTCATGATATCATTGCTAAGTTTGTCAGGATGTTGGTTGAAGTTGGGGGACTTGTGTGAAGTTCATTGTCTAAAAGATTAGTGAATCTAGGCCAGTCAGCCTTCTTGGAGTTCAACGATAACTTAGTTGGCACTTTAGTTGTCTTGCTTTTGCTGATGATGGTAATACTAGCAANCCAAATTTTTTTGAATAATGCCAGCATGATTTCATTGTATTTTGGTCCCATTCTACCTAGATATTCTAGGTTGGTACCGTCTTCAACAGGCGACTTTTTTGCACTTGAGCTGTTTTATCGCAGCGTTGAGTTCAAGAGAGCTGAATGGTTCAGTAACTACACTATGTGCTACTGTTGTATCTCCCTTAATTTCATCAATTTTTGCTACTTCTTTCAAGCAAAGTTAGCTATTTCGGAGTCGGTGGTAAGCCTATGGGGTTGCTTCCTGGGACTTTCTTGTTGTTTTGGAGGTTACCCAGGAATTTGAAAGTGCGTTGGCTATCACTTCGGTAGTTGATGTTTGAGATGAAGTTTTTGAAGATAATCCGTTTGGCTTGCAAGATTGCTTGTTTTAGGACAGCTGATTGTCGTCTCCAGGCTCGAACATCTTCCGTTCTACCGGTCTGTTCAGCAGTGTTGCGAGGGATTTACCATTTTCTTTTCAATTCCTCAAGGGTTTTAGCCATGTACATTTGATTACAATATTGGTGATATTGCTGCATAGTTTGTCAGGGTGGCGGTGGTTAATAAGTAACTCGAGTAACTCCTATTGGTTACTTATTAACCAATGGAAATTCCCTTGAAAAACTATATAAACTGCGCTACACTATCCTAAATTCATCTTACGCTCATGGAGAATGGCCGAAGATTTGAACAAGCACCGACCACCTCTACCAGAATTGGACATGAACGACCCAATAGTACAAGCCTTTTTACAGACGACCCCTTCGACCTCCAAGAGGGTCAGCGCCTCTTCCCCTTTTCCAAAAGATTGGGAGATGTGGGAGAAGCAAAGGAAAATCAAATACCTATTGGGGTGGCTGCGGAGGATTCGACAACAAATGATAGCATTCGCTTAGAAAGAGTTCCAATGTCAAGGCGCCAACATCTATAAGTTGCTTATACATAGAGCATGACGATCACATGCATGTCCTCATACAAGCCAGAGACCATGTTGGACGAAAAATTGATCGCCTTCTCAACGATTGCCTAGTTGGAGCAAACGATTGGTGGTTTATAAAGAACACAAGAATGTTAGTGCGAAATGTATATCAAGTTATTCAGTATTTCAAGTCGAGAGGTATTGTTAAAGAAGCATTACAGGAAGAATGGGCTATCGCGCACGACATGCCAACAGTCGAACCAAAACTCCATGCGCACCCGATATCCGCCGTGCACAAACAAAATCCCTAAATGTACAACGTGCAGAGACGCGTCAAGCAAAGTTTAACCATTTTTGCAATGAGTTAATCAGCCGAGATATACGCCAATTTGAAGACATTTTCAATAAGTTCTCGGTTAAAGAGATAAGGCAAATGAATTCCTTGATGGGAGTTCAGTGGCGAGAAATCGCCAAGCAACAAATTCTCGGGCTAAACACACAGCGACTAAAGGAGGAGAAGGAAAATTCCTATCTGCAGAACCTAGGCAATCTCAAACACGAATGTTCAGTTAAACATTCAAAAGATACATCTTGGCTCATGATGCTTCTTAACCAAAACGGTATTGACATTTCGGCACTCTTGAATGATATAATCGACATCATGGATAAAAAACAACAAAGGTTAACACGTTGTGTTTCAAAGGCCAAACAAATACTGGCAAAACTCTTTTAGCCGGCCAAATAACTTCGCTGATGTCGCATGAAATCAAAAGCAAATCAGAGGTTGTTCAGGTTCCATTGTAGTGAAGTTATGTAGCTGGATTCTTAGCGTTGCAAATAAAGTCTAGAGGGCTGCTGCTAAGCATGTCTTCGATTTCCATTCAAGCTGCGTTTCTGTACAGATAGCCCCATATTGCGGAATTGACGTTGAAGTTAGCCGGTCTCTTTACATCTGTAAATCAATCTTCCATTCTCCTCTCGATATTTTGTGACTTTGATGTTCCTCCCCTCAGTGAAGCCCAAAGTCAACTGAAGGGCTAATCGTAACTAACATTAAGCCTGCCATTTGATATAAATATTCCACTTGGTACATGCCGGTCTTTAGGTAGCACATACAAGACGTAACCTTGAAACTGATAGTGTGATTTTATCAGCCGTAAGGTTGGCTTCCATGTTTGTGAAGATGTCTATGTCATAGGTAAAAATGATTTTCAGGATTTAAATCTTCTTGTCATGTGACTTCCTTCCAGAATTGCATTGAAAGATATGCAAAGTTGTGGTTTGCACTGGCAAGGAAGATTTCTCTTATTGGAGTTTCGTTTCAGGCTGGCCATGATAGCTGGAAGTTAACTACCGTTTTATAGACTTTTTTTTGCCGTATGAGTATACGTTGCCCAGGGTGCACCACGTGGAGGTAAGTCTATTCACACCAGTGTTTGGTTAAATATAATGCGTCGCATTAATATTATCTTCATTTAAAAGCCTTAAATAGTAGGAATAAAATCCACAAGTCTCACAAAACTTGTAATTATAATGTATTGTTTCTTAAATACCCCTTGTTTATAAAGAGAATCTCGCGGAAGAGTTCCATAAGATCTCGATTAAATATGTAAAGAACATTGTACACTATGAGAAAAAGTGACAATAAGAATCTCGCAATAAAACCTAGACTTTATAATTTAAAAAAAGTTGTTAATGAAACATCTTTCATGTTC